AACCCCCTTGTTTATGAAAATACTCTGAAACCATAAAATCACACAAATGGTAGGTTTGCTAACGTTCCTTGGGAACTTGCACCACTCCTCCCCCCGCCCCCCCCCCACAGCCCTCCCAGAGCCCCTCCAGCAGGAGCTCCCTGGGCAGTGGGCTGGTGTAGACACGGGGTGCACTGGTGGAAGACACGACGTGTCCCCTATTATTTAAAAAACCTCCCTGTGACTCTATTGAGGACGTATGTGTGGGACCATGTATGTGGAAATGCCTCTGTGAGTTGGGTGTGGGATCCATCACACATGTCTCAGGACGAGTCAGCCCCGCAGTCCCCGCGGCAGGACTTCTGTACCCAAGTCCTTCACAGGCAGAGCTTCTGAACCCACAGACACAGACAGCGCCGACTAACCAGCCCCAATGTTGGCCAGGCGAAGGGCTCGTGCCAGCGAGGACCCTACCCTCAGGAAAGTAACTGTGGCCCAGCCGGCCTGGCTCCGTGGTTGAGCCTCGACCCATGAACCAGGAGGTCACGGTTTGATTCCCAGTCATGGCATATGCTCAGGTTGGGGCTTGATCCCCTGTAAGGGGTGCACAGGAGACAGCTGATCAATGATTCTCTCTCATCATTGACGTTTCTATCCTTCTCTCCCTCCTGCTTCCTCTCTCTGAAATCAGTAAAAACATTTTTTAAAAGATTATAACTGTGCAATTTAAGATATATATTAAAATAATAATACAAATCTTTCAATGTTATATGAGTTTAAGGTTGTACTGACCCTAACCAACCATCCATTGGTGACTAAACTGTATCCCATATATCCATCCATCCATCTATCCTTCTATAGTGGAACGTTGGCTCTCAAACGTCTCCATCTCAAACAATATGCTTCTCACCCACACCCTTCCATGCTGACCCCTGTGTGATCAGTCACGCGTCTCTCAGGCAACAAAGGAGAGAATGCGTGAGTGTGTGTCAGTTTACTGCTAAACCTCACGTTGCTAACATCTCAGGAAATTGTGCTGCGAATATTTTCCTGTTTTTTGCTTTTGTTGCTGCTCATTATTATTAAATTTTCTTTTTTTACTGTACATTTCATTTCCTTTTTGTTAAATCCTCATTTACATTTCATGTCCTCTTTGTTTTTAAGGTGTTTATTTATAGATTAAACTGTACATTAGACATGTGTTGTATATGAGAAACATTCAAACAGGAGGTCACTTGGAGGTCTGCAAGGCATTAATTCAATTTACATTATTTCTAAAGGAAAGCAGGATTCAGGTTTCGAACAGCCTTCCAGAATGAAGCACATTCGCGAACTGAGGGTCCACTCACTGTATTCATTATCCAGTTAATCTGTATGAGCATCTACAATGTGTCAGACACTCTGCTACAACTGTGAGGGTCTTTTATATGTTTCTATTACCCACCATGAGGAAGGTTAGGAGCCAGGAAAGCAGTTCTTGGCTTTTCTCTTTCCAAAGGCGGCTTTTGTCGGGAAGCTTTCAACCCCTTGCCCAGCTCAGGAAGAGGAACGAGTAAATTTCCATTCACTAATGTACTCTGCAAAAGTCGGCATGATATATGCTGCTTGCTTCTTGCTCAGATACGCAAAGTCAGAATGGACTGTGTGATTGCTTTGGGATAGAGTTAAGTCCAGATCATTGTGTTTGTCCTTAATCATTTTTTACCAGTCCATCTCTACCCTGACATGATTCATATGGAGCCTGACGTGGATTCTTTAAAACAAATGAGTAAATAAAGAGAAAGACAGAAACATGGGGCGAGAGCATGAACTAACACCAAAATAAGTGAATGCATTTTCTCTCTCTCTCTCTCTCTCTCTCTCTCTCTCTCTCTCTCTCTCCCTCTCTCTCTCATAAATGCATGAACACACACCTGAGGATTTCAGTCCATTGAATGACAATGAACCAGGTCTTGGGCTGAGAGCAGTGCCGCCCACCCCCACCCCCCACCCCCAGGTGGCGCCCAGGGCTTCCTCTCTGAGGGAAGCGCGTGCCCCCCAAGGAAACACTATGAAAGCTGGGCGGTAGGTCAGCAGATAAGACTCCCTTGGGTTCACTCTCGTCTCCCCTTCCTCATCACTATCCGCCAGCAGGGGCAGCCTGGCCTCATCTCTGCAGCATATTTCCGCATTTGCACATTAGCCCGTTCTAGTGCGCACCTGGGGTACCTTCAGAGTTGCTCCCGCACCCCGGGGAGACTCACTCCCAGACCCCAGCTCCTGTCTGCATGGCGCAGCTCCTGTCCAGCGGCCTCCAGAAGCCCCTGCCAGTGGTTCCCTTCTCCCGCCCCTCTGTGCAGGACGGAGCTTCCTTTGAACCGCGGTCTGTCCTGTGGTCAGTTTCCCCACATCCCAGTTGTTTTTCATCACTTGTCTTATTTGGGGTGCGGGGGGGTGTATGGTATGCGAAACCCTATCATAGCGTAAGGCCAGGAGTTGTGCCAACAAATACACCCAGAGAAACGGACTCTTCCTCAGCCCCGTGACCTCGCTCCCAGCCCCATTTTCCATCACCCCTACATGCAGCCAGTCGCTGGTGTCTGTCTTCCGGCTCCTGCATTCTGTTCCCCACACATGAGGAGGCCCAGGCCTATTTCCCCACGTCCCTTCTAGATGCTGGATCTCACCCGGTGGGGTCCCTGCTGGCTCCGCATAGCTCCTCCTGTGAGTTGACGGAGACCTTCCCTCTTCGTGACGGCTGTCATATGCCACTGGGGTGCCACTTACTCAACCACGCGTTGCTCCTCGGATTTTGCAACTGCCAAGCTGCAGTGCATACAGTTTCCGTGTGGGTATTTTTGTGTCGTTAGAGGTGGATCTGCCAGGAAGTGAACCAGGTCTAAAGTTCAGGGTGGATTTTACCAGGTTTTCCAATTTCCCCTGGAAGGTGTGCACCCGCCAGCACAGGTGCGCATGCCTGGCCCCACAGCCTCCTCAACACAACGCACCACACTTTCCTCGCTTCCTTGTTGTTCTCGGCAAGTTTCATCGGTGAGATAACTCAGTGTAGTTTCACTTTCGTTTCTCTAATCTTGCTTGTTCAGTACTTTCCGTATGTTCGAGGGCCATGTTAATATCTTTTTAGACACTTGTCTGCTCATGTCTTTTTCTCACATTGCTATCATCTTGTGTCTTTTGCAACCTTAATTTTAGAGTTCTTTGTCTGATAGAGCTCAGCCATGTGTCTGGAGTGTGTTATCAATATTTTCTCCCACTTTCTCAGTTGTCTTTTGTGACATTTTGTGAACAATTTTTCAAAACTGTTTATGGTATGTCCTCAAATGTGTCACTCTTTTATGTTATTGCTTCTGAATCTTGAGTCATCCTTAGAAAACCTTTCCCCATACAAAATCAGTGAGGAAGTCACACTTGTTTATGAAAAGACTAGAGGCCCGGTGCACGAAATTCATGCACTGGGGGATGGGGGTCCCTCAGCCCAGCCTGCCCCCTCTCACAGTCCGGGAGCCCTCAGGGGGTGTCCTACTGACTGCTAAGTCGAAGTCTGGCAGCGGAGGCTCGGAGCAGGCGCCTCTCTGTGTTGTTCTCACAGGCTCAGGGCTGCGCCCGGCCCCTCTTCCTGAGCTGGTCATGACCATTATGGAGTCCTGGCCTCATTTGCATATTACTTATATATATATATTGAAACCCTAAAATCACACAAATGGTAGGTTTGCAAACATTCACTGGGAACCTGCCACGTTCAGACCCCCGTCACTCTGCTAACAGCTGGGCACCCAGCCGGCTCTGTCACTGTCCCCCTCACTGCTTCCTGCAGACCCAGGGGCCCGGCCTGAAACTGCAGGGCGGGGCAGACTGTCCCTCCTACCAGTGCTTTTGACTCTGAAATGTATTCCATGTCCTGGTAGACTGTTAAGCACTTACTTTTAGAATTTTCTACTGACCCAAGCCCTCACTCAACATGCCCTTACCCACTTCCCCTCCCTTCCCGTCACACCTGTGTCTTTGGTTCAGACAAGTCCTTTAAATTCAGCGTCTTCCCTTCCCAAAGACCATCCAGCCACTGTCTCTCTGGAGGTGAATGAGCACATTCATAACTCTGACTTCTGCTTAAGAAATACCGCGGCCACCAGGCAGGGTGCTCCTGGCGGGGCCGCCTGCTCTGCAGAGCGCAGAGAGCCTCCCGAGAGCAGCGTCACCAAGGAGAGACTCGCCGTCTCTCCTGCCCATTGCAGATGGCGCCGCTGCGCTTACCCTGAAATATTTACGCTTATTAACGCACAGGTGTTTGTAGTCTTCGTGATGATTTTTATTCGTATGGCCTTTTGTTGGTGTGGTGTTTTGCATATAATAAATTAAGAGTGAAAAAATGTAGGTGATGTTTGAAAGGAAAAAATGTTTCTCTTCTTTCCATCTTTCTCAGTCTCTCTCTGTCTTTCTCTCAATCTTTGTCTCTCACTCAATCTCTCCGTCTCAGTCTCGCTCTGTCTTTCTCAATCTCTCTCAACCTTCCCTTCTCTCTCTCCCTCCCTTTTGGTTCAACACAAACCGAAACATGGAATCTGGCCCTGAAGACGCTTGGTTCAGAAAGGCCGAACGGCCTGGCGTTAGGCTTAGGAAAAAAGTAACTTCTGTCAGAAAATCCAGAGATGAAGCTGTGAACAAGGGGCATTTATTGCTGCACAGCCATGCATTTCAGTTTTTAATTTTGACGGTTCTGAATATTTTTAAAAATCGGTTCATAGACTCCTCCGCAGGTTCTCTCTAGGGGAATATTTGCTATTTGGGCTCAGCATGAGGACCTGAGTCCACCTCACACGCCTGAGGGACCCTGGTCCCGATGAGACGGTTCCTGGAGAGCG